ATGTAAAAGACTACAAGAATTAAAACCAATGAAACAGATAACTAAAATTGTATGACTTTGTTTGTTGCGCGGCAATATTGTAAAAATGGAGCTTTCAGTACTCTTATTATTTGTGATAAATGTGTTACCCGATGATGTGCCCGAACAAACTCAAGTCATCATTCTTCAAAGGGTCAATAAAATACTTTACACGATTATGAAAACGAAAATATAGTATGTCGTGAATACACTATACACTTTAAAAATGTGAAAATGAAATAAATGTTACGTTATGATTGGCTATTACTGCATTTGCGTACCATTGTATACCTACACAACATATATATTTGTTGTTGTTTGTTTTAATTATATGACATATAGCCTTTCGCACATATTATTAAATTGACATTATGCTCATTTTCTTCGCTGTCATGTTGAGTTAAATTAACCATATATTTTAAAGAGTGCATATAATAATGATTATTACAACAGTTGATAATGATAATGTTTAAGATAAAAATATCAAAATCTGCCTAAAATCTAAAAGGACTGTCACACCCTTTTTACATATTCAACATCATTAATATACTCCAAAGGATATAAACAGATTTTTTTTCGTGAGTCACATCGGTCATTGAATATACATAAAAATGACCACAACTATGGCAAAATCGGAAGTTATTTTACTGGTATAAACGGTATTTATTAAACAATGGCGGAGTTGTTACCATGTACGACAAGACCATCTGCAATCCTATTAATATCTTTATGAAACCTATCGATGAGGTATAATATATTGAAACACATAAGTGTAACTTTTTCGATTCTCCTGTGTCGCGTTTGGATTTTATGGAGAAAGACTAATATTTGCCGAACATCCCAAGTATATGAAGCCGAATCCTAGTCAGAAAAAAGACTACAGATGAAAGAAATAATGTCGAAGTACGAGTTACTCATAAATCGTGCGTGTAATTGATATTTAATCCCTGCATTTAGTTATGTAAAATATATTTAAACCCTGTGATAAAGGGTACACATCCATGCAGAAGATCTATTGGCCATATGATGGGATCGTTTACGTCTCCTCTATCATTATAATCGTTAAATTGATGAATTTTTAACACATGAATACCTGTTATACTGATATGAATTTTAAAAATCTCTCTAAATTGTTAAAATAAGAAACCCCATGGCTATAAAAAGAAATGACAGTGCGCATAAGGCATTCCTTAAATATTCCTTAAATATATCTTATATTATGAAAAGTTTGAAATTATAATATGCACCTCAATTATAATAAAGAAACGGCTATGGTCACCTCCCTTGAGCGTCAAGTTTAATTAAATCAAACATACTAGAACATATATATGTTTTATTAAAATATATCTTAAAGTGGCTTATATCATTGTTTTCCTGATCTGGATTACTCTAGCCAGTACAAAACTATGAAAAGAAAACCAAATGAAAAGTGATTTTCTATATTATAATATTTATTTTTGCAATTATGTGAATTCCTAGATCGAATGAAATAGAGAGAAAATCAAATAGAACCGCAAAGAACATCAAAAACTGCAAAACTGAAAATGTTGCAGGCTTGGTTTTATTGCATCTGTCCATCGACGGTACAAGAAATTGCAAGCCTCCGTCCAAGGTCCCTAGCACTGGCTAAAGCAGAATTTAACATTTGACATGAAATGTAAAATTATGAATTTGGTAACACCCGCATATAAGAATCGTTGTCATGGGACCAGCAATTAAACACGTTAGTGCAATTCCATGAAAAGCGGCGTATGGTCCCTAAGTTATAGAATACGTTTGCCCTTAACGAAAAGAAAAAAAACAATGTGCGGAACAAAATAAAATGGATTTTTGAAAGAAAGTCAAAGATTACGCCTGCATATCACAGACAAGCTATCAAACATCAAAATTCAATATCAGACACCATATATAAGGGTGATTAGACATAATTCAAGTAAGGAAAACTGGAACCACCCAACTAGAAAAACAGATTAACTGGAAGTACATGTACCATTAACACAATTATAATATCGTGTCGAACGATATTAAAGGATCGTAAAAATACGTCTCTGATTGTATGTACGGAAGTCAACATGTTTAAGGTCATTTTATGGCGGATGTTGTGAAAGAATACACACAAACAACTTGTGTACGCATTATTTCCAACATGCAAACATTCACAAATTTATATCTAAATCAATAAAAGGACACTAATTAATCATATATGCAAAACATTAAATCTGGGTAGATAAATATAAAGTGTAGTGTTGCAGTCTCTAATGGCTTACCGAGGTTGCATATGTACGGCCAAGCACCGAATGATGATAACTTCCATTTCGCCAGGAGGATTTATCTATCTTAACTTTGACTTTTATATACGATTTCCCTTTTCATTAAAAAACGGACACATGTTTTAATACCTGATTACTTCTGAAGTGTCAAGATGTAAGAACAAGATGTAAGACCAAAGTGTAAGACTATGTAATGACTCGAATATAAAGCAATAAACACGGATTAGATATAATCAAATCCCCAGTAAATGACTCGTGTTAAATAGTCTGAAGGCAATAACTACAAGACGGGGAATTGGTGATAACATCGGATGGAAATTATCTCTTTTACGGATAATGTGACATTCAACGTTTCCTTGTTGAGGACGTGTCGCCTAATCTATATTTACGTAAAAAAATGTACTAGATATGCTCCTTACAAGTTAAAAACATGATATGACCAATAGTTCTCTTTTGAAATTTGCTCGATTTAATATAAAGTTTCTGATTAAGAAGTATTAAAGTTATTAAATCGTTAGGGACAACTCAGGCAGCTCGTTTAAAGTTGGCCAGGACGGAAATATATCAATAAAACAAAATATTTGACATTATGTTACATTTTTAATTTCCTTTTTCTCTATGTTTCAGCGACCTCCTTCTACAGCAATTTGGGGACCATTTCCATCAGCTGGTTTGCAATATCCTTTAACCTTTGAACCTGCTTCAATAGCAACACCTGCCGTTGAAATTACCTCGCACGTGCTATCTATATTGAAACACACACACACAAACATAATTACATTTTAATCTTTTTTAAAATAAACGAGTCAAGTTCTTTGGTCAGTGGGATTTCATTAAATGAAGCAGTAACATTAGGTCTTAAGTCATAACAATATAAATCATCTGATACAAAGTCAATGACTGAATTGTATTTCAGTTACATAAACTAGATAACATTATTTATTCTGTTGTACAACTTACAACATCTTGAATATATTTTCGTAAAGGCCTTAACAGACGCCAGGGTTTTGTTGTACAACGCTAATAAAGTATATGAAGTACAATTTTCAAAGTAATGCAACACTTGCATTCATACCGTATTGTATTAATCAACAGGTTTCACTCCAAAATGTTTTCGTCCAAATGGATCCCTTACAAAATTTACCATTTTTATTATTGGAATATCTGTAAATGTTCTAAATGTTAGTATTGTCCAATTAAGGAGTTAGAGGTAGACCAAAATGTTCCTTCTTGGATAGCAAGAAGGGAGCATTTAGGAAATTACCATGTTGTAGCATGAATAACTGAGCACCATAAGATGGACACCCGAAAAGAAAAGTAAATAGGTATGTTACAGAAAAGTCGTTTATTATAAGTGGATTTGAATGTTGTGCAAATGATTTCTTATACATTAGACGGTTTAAAAATACCAAAAGATAAGAAAGAAATAATACTTTTGTCGCAGCCGCAGTGGTACATATCTCCAACATAACAAGATGCGCCCGGAAGTAGATATTTCTCGCATCGTTTTGGATGAGTACCAAGTATACTGGTGCTTGCACTTTTCATACAACATCCATTAGTACAGTCATCGTCAGTAGTACACTCATTTACATTGAAAATAAATGACTGAAATAAAGGTTAAAACACATTGTCAAAGACGAAAACAATTCATAAACATAAATGAAATATTTTTTTTAAGATTAAACTGCAGTAACAACTTTTTTAAGATAATATTTGTATGACTGCAGGTTTCGTGCAATATCTATTAATGCAGCCATCATTGGTAGCGCAATCATCTATATTGAAAATAAATGCCTGAAATAAAATTTCAAAGCAAAAACGTAACACAATGTTAAAGTCCAACAATTCATAAACATAAACGGCGCACTTTGTTGTATATTAAACTACAATGCCACGTACTTTAAGATATTTTTTGTATGACAAAATATACAAATATACTCGCATGTTTGACAATTATTAACTTTTCACCTTCCTCTATGGCTAGTGCGACATTGTTTTTCAAAAAAGGTTCAAATTAAATATTAAGTATGTTTTATGTTTAATTACCGAAATACGTGAATGTTTAGATTGTATTGGTATAAAATGGAAGTAATAAAATAACTCACATCTGCCGAAAATATAAATCCAACGAAAACAATAATTATTAGCTTATACATGATGAAAACCTTTATATCTACAGGAAAATAATTGTAAAACTGGATCTTATCTCTTACAGATATCTAAAGGTTACATAAATTCTTCTATAAGATATTATCATTCTAATATAATATTGTGTAACAGTACTTATTATGTCCCAGTTTAATCACGTTTAGTTTTCTTATCATGATTTTGTGTCGATATCCGTCTGCTTTTTATACTTTAACTTTTAAAGTCATCAACACAATTTAAATGCATGGTTCAATTTTTAGATTAAGAAAAATAATGTAAAAAAGAAGAAATAAAGAGATAGCATTAAAAGCTAACTACGTTAACTGCGATAGATGCTTTAACCATTGTAACACCGCAAAACGTCCGTACCACAAAACGTACGTATATGGACGTTTTGCGGCGCATATCGACGTACATTTTGCGGCAAAAAGGCATGGTCCTGCCGCATAACGTCCATATTTTTAAAGGAATAGGAATGGATGGATTGATGTCTGTCTAATATAAATATTCATCATTTAAAAAGAGGTACCATGACAGTTCTTCTGTTGACATCCAAACCCTATAATGAGAAATTCGCTGTTATAAGACACTTTTTTACTTGGAATATGTACAATGGGCGCCGCCATTTTGGCGTTCTGTCACTCTCGCGGAGACGAACGAGACCGAGATTGTGACGTGTTACACCCACTTCGGTATAGTATACCGCCGGCTACAAACTGGAAATATATCTGCATGAAGAACTGATTATCTTATTGCGTACATTATATATCTGTTTATGAAACAAATCACATGGAAACGATTCGCTTTAATTAATTAATTGAAGACGCCGCGGACATTATTCATCATTTCCGATTTTCAAGCTTGATGATGCATCCACCACGATTGATTAAGCATGATTGCTTAATTTTCAAAGTGAAACCAATCCAATTTATTTGGGTAATATGAGAAACTTGCTTCAAATTGACGATAGTATCCTATTTATTATTTTCTTAATTTTCGCAGACAAGCTGTCCCGAACATAGGGCACATCGCCGGTCATGTTTTTCTTTTTTTTCAGAGCCGTAAAAATATCAAACTAAATCCCAATATGCAGAAGGTCTGCTGTAGGACCGCGATTTTCCGCCATTGATGGCTAAAAATCGATAATGGCGCAGGAAAACCGGCAGTTTCAGACTAATATCGTAATGAAAAACAAAATTGTCCGTTAGGTTATTTAAGGCACCCAGTAAAACTGGGTACCAACAGCAACAGGTTGCCCATTCCCCTGTAATTACGCAATATTCTCGGGTTTATCAGTTCCCTATAGCTTTTTTCCACTAATCCTTTCCCACACAGTTATTCTGCGCAATTCTATTCCGTATATTTAATCCAATAAAACAAAAAAAAATCATAAAATCTACTTAACTATTTAAAATGATTATTGGTAACTGGAAAAAAAATGTGTTAGCTATTTTAAAAATGCTATCAATTTACAGAGTATAATTTGACAGTGTGAACTTAATGTCCCCTAAGGTCATTTAGTTCAACTGGCATTGAAGCGTTAAAAAAATAGATCTCTATTTCGTCATTTAGAAATATTCTGACAAGGGTGATTTAACCAATCAGGGCACATTTGCATGATCAACAAGTTCTTGTCCCGGCACCGAGAAGCATACAAGGAGCAATAAAAAATCGTCATTACACAGTGTGACAGAAACATTTGAGTGCAACATTAGGAACAAATTAAAACTGGATAATGCACGAGTATTAGACTATAAGTAGTAAGAAACCAGAAATCTGTTGAATAAATTATGCAAATTTAGATTTTTGAGCACCAATAAAATGTTTTCCCTGCAGTTAATCATACAATTACAATAAAACACAACATTCTTTTATTTCGTCAGAGGTTACATTTGTAACAAACAGACATTAACAATAATCAAGTAAATAAATACATGCTGTGGTTATTCAATAGAAAATTACACTTGTTTTACGTCAAGTATGATAATAATCAAGCGAAATTAGCTACATAGTAATCACAACAAGAAAACATATTTTTTAACCTTAAAACTTAATATGAAATGTTAAGTATGGGGACGAGCGATAGTTTAACTGTGCTAATTTCAGTATAGGAAGATAAAGTGGGCACGTTTTGAACAGAAAGCGTTTGGTTGTAAAACTTATTTACGTTCATTCATTAGTGTTACTATGGACATGTCATTGGACGGAGAAAATACTATTTCAAATAAGTAAAACATAACGTGTAACGTGTGTTCATGATGTGCGCCTTAAACTTATACTAAGGATTTTATTAGGATTTCGCTGTGTTAGCTACTTTTAAGAAAGTTCATGGTATTTAATGATGATATTTGGATATCGGTTGAAAATATTTGGAATAAGCTGCTTTCTTTTTTCGGTGAAATAATTACAAACCATCAAATAATGGAATTCATCACCTAAGTCATTTTGGCATAGTGGACACTTTCTGGACACAGTGGACTTAGGCATATATTAGGCTACGATTACGATGTAAATAAATACCACGCAGCATCATACATGTTGACAGACATGTTAACAAATTTACTTTACAAAAGAGGTTGCTTATATTTTTGAATGTGTATTATCAATTATTACATATTTCTGATAGTCAGAATCAAACTGCAAAAATTTAATTACATGTTGTTAGCTATTAAGAACACGTTTTAGTAGGATTTTATAATAATGATAATTATCGCCGTTCAATAACTAGCACCAATTATTCGTTGGCTGCGCGTATTGTTTATTTAATTTATTATTTTGATTGTGAAAACTTGTTTTAAATAAAAAACAGTCATGTGTATTTATTAAATCTGAAAATTATTGTTTAATTACGCTTAAGATGAGACTTTTAATGACAAAGGCATTGTTTGAGTAACGGGGGCATCACTGGCCTGAAAATGGTGCGACCGGTAGACGTGATTTTTTTATTTGTTTCTTTATTTTTATTTATGTTTTTTTTTTGGGTATTGTTACGTATTTTGAACCAAAAAAAAAAATTCTCCTCAACCACCCTCTGTGAAATTAAATTGTCTGGTTCAATTAAACTTTATTATATTAATATTTCGCTACGATTCTACTAGATTTATCATAAATCTAAAAATGTGGGGAAATGACATCACGCGCCCCTGTTTTTATACGGCCAATACACAAAACATTGGCCGCGCCTACTGATTTGTACAAATCGGTCGTGATTTACGCGAATTTAAATTTTGTTATCATTCGTTTAATATTATTATTTGGCGGCAGAAAATTTGCAGATTTATTATTTATAGTATTCTTTTTCTGAAATCAAGTTTTTATTCTAACCTTGTCTTTCCCTTTAAGTTTATATAATTTTCGTTAATTTTTGCCAGTTATTATCAGGTGTTATTGCGTGTTAATTTTAGCTCACCTGAGTATGTGCCTGTCTATCTGTCCGTCCAAATTAAGATTGTTACCACTCTAGCATCCACATAGCCTAAGCAATATGTCCAGAGTTATCTGCCCTTGAATTGCAATATCTGTTATATTTCAAATTGTTACCACTCCAACGCTTTCATTTCTTCTTCAATCTTGACAATTTTCATATTATGGGTCATACTTGGTATTATTTCCTTTTAAAATCCTTATATATGACTTGGCGGCTATAAGCCACAATCCGACAAAAGCTCTCTCTCACGCTTAAGTATGACAATGCGACTAAAAGCCACAACCCAACAAAAGCTCTCTCTCACGCTTAAGTATGACAATGCGACTAAAAGCCACAACCCGACCAAAGCTCTCTCTCAAATATGACTTGGCGGGTAAAGCCTATATCCCCCTGGAAAAAAGCTCTCTTGCTCAAATATGACTAGGCGGCAAACAGCCCCACACACCCCCGTCCCCCATCCACGATAAAAGCACTCTTGATCAAAAACGATTAGGCGGCTTAAGACACCCTTCATCACAACAATAGCTCTCTCGCTCAAATTTGACAACGCGGCTAAAAGCCCGCAACCCGACAAAAGATATCTTGCATAAATATGACTAGGCGGCTAAAGCACATCCCCCGCTCATCACCAACAATAGCTCTCTCACTCAGATATGACAAGGCGGCTAAAATCTCTCTCAAATATGATTAGGCGGCAAAAAGCACCCCCACCCCCCACCCCCTGCGACAAAAGTTTTCTTGTTCAATTATGACTAGGCGACTTAAAGGCCCCATCTCCATGACAATATAGCTCTCTCGCTCAAATATGACTACGCTGTCAAAAGCCCCCATCGATCCCCTTAAAAATGAACGGTAGAACCAAACCTCCATAGTCAACAAGAACACAAAAAATCATTCCCATTTCTTGATGAATTATATGAAAAGCCATTACCAAGTGCGATATGCAACGCAAAACGTCCACATGTGTACGATATGCGACGCAAAACGTTCCTACGCGTACGTTTTGCGGTACGGACGTTTTGCGGTGTTACAAACCATATCGTGACTAAACAAACTAGTATACATGTACTATTTGAACGAATGACCATGTTAAATCATTGACTGTTGACTTGTAAAAATGTGCATAAAGTACTGAGTTGACTTATATATTGAAGAAAACTGGAAAATTAAAGGCATGTCACGTCTTCAAATACAATAATGATTTAGGCTTTGATTTTTATATTCAACAGGTTTTGCTTCAATAACAAACAAACAGTACATTATACAGTTATAAAAGCAACATCAAGAACAACCGGCCCATTGGACACACTTAATTCGTGTTAGTGTTCCTCTTTAAATCAACAAAAATATGTTAATGCGTGACAAGTATGTTTCCAGGACATCAAAGGACTCAATTCAATGGCCATATTTACAGAAACAATCAAATTAAAAATCAACAAAAGTGATCGAAATTCACAAAAAATACCCACCCACACAAGATCGTCATCAACAAAAAGTTGTCATTAAAGGTAGTTAAAATGTGTAACAAAAAAGAGACATAATAATAAATGCTTATAATGATAAAAATGATTATTTTCGAAAACTGCTAAGTCAACTAGTTGCCAAGGACTCTCCCCTGTCTGGAATATTTTTAAGTTTTGATAAATACAAAGGACGTTTTAATTTCCTATGCAGATATATGAAA